TGCTGATGACACCTCTCTTTTGTATTCGGATAAAATCACCACAAGTAATTGAACAATAAATTAATAATGATCTCGTAAATATACAATTGTGGGCAGATAAGTGGCTAAATTCAATCCTGCAAAAACAGAGGCTTTACTTATTTCTAATATTGATCTTGATCACCTCATTGAAATTAACTTAAATAATGTAAGTATTGAATTTGTTGCCCATCGGCAAGAAAATTATTTTTTAAAATCCACGATAATATAGCTCCTAACTATCTCAACACTCTACTCCCTTCCCTTGTCGATAACTCTCACTATAATCTTCAAAACGTTGAAAACTACAGCCTACCTAACAACAGACTTGAATTATCTAACGTATCCTTTTTTCCTTCTCCTGTTAGACTGTGGAACCAGTTACCTACTAGTATACGACGTAGTGCCACGTTCTCATCATTTAGAAACGCCATTCAAGACGTAAACTTGCCGCTTGTACCAAACCCCTTTTTCTATGGTGATAGGAAAAATTATATTTTGCACACAAAATTAAGAAACCGTTCTAGTACTTTGAAAGTGATCTGTTTCGTGTTAACCTTATTGATTACCAACGTTGTATATGTGGCTTCCCTATTGAAGACACACACCATTTCTTTTTTACCTGTGATAAATGTAACGAACAAAGAATTAAGCTTAATCGTGAACTGAATGAATACATGCCTCGTAATTTAAATCTACTTTTATTTGGAGATACATCTCTTTCGGAACAGNTGAATTTGGCTAATATGAATTTGGCTATAACTTCTGTTCTATTAACATAATTGTGTTCATACTTTTAATTTTGTGACATTTTGGCAAATGATACAGATCACCTGCATGAATATGTGAATAACCCCATGACCTATTCCCCAAGGACCAAGATGGTCAATGTAGCTTTTGTTTGGTCCTTAAATGGGGAATATATAGGCAGTCACACAGCGGGGCCCTTGCTGACCTGTCGGTGTTCTTTTGGTTGGAAGCATCCTTATGTGGTGATGATAAAAAAGTGCAAATGGAAGAGGCTACACTTATGGAGAGGGGAGGGGGAGAGAAAGGAGCAGAAAGCAAAATAAGATAATTATATATATATAATCTAGTGTTTCTCCAGCCATATTTCTCTCATTTGGAGTCTTTTCTAGAAAAAAAATAGCTAGAGGTACCACATTTGAGTTACAAGTTGATGAAATAGACAGCAATGGTGCGGTAGCAAGATTTATCTTCACTATTGTGTTATTGTTTTATATTAGTACATATAATAAAGTGATTTGGTATTAGGGAAGAATGATACTTTGTTTTTCCCCCATAAAAGTGTCACTGGAGCTTGGTCCTTGTGAGTTGTGGTTCCCTGCAAGGCCATCATAATGTGGCTGGGGTGTCTGTCCATGCATCTATCTGTCTGTAGACAAAATGAATACGAATGGTACACAAAATACTTAAATTAAACGGTTGTGAATAGAGTATGCAAAATGGATGAAGTTATACCCCTTTATAAGCATAATGTTTGCACTATTAAAGAACGCACGAGGGGACATGAGTATTTGGGGATATAGAACAGGGAGCTTTAGCTCTCAAATGAATGGAGTTATGGCCCTACTATCTCTATCACGAACTTTCACCATAATCTACAAAATAGAAAAAAGTCTAAGCAAAATATGTCGCACCGAATTAGAACATCGTCATTATTTTAAAGGTTCGAAAAAACCTTGACATAACTTTATGTTTCTATTTTGTAGATTAAAGTAAAAGTTGATGAAAGAGATGACGCTCCAAGCTTCACAAAATTGACTTTTTCGGTTAAAATATGACTGGTTGGTGGAAATCCAGATATTGTTCCTTTTCGACAAGTTATGATATAGCACGAAATAGAGACATTTATTTGACGTATTGTCTCGTGAAATGTAGTGATGTCAATTAAGTGACAATTATTGCAACAAATAAAAATCCATTTCATTTCCATTTAGAAAAATGTCCACCATAAAAAGTTCTACAAAACAGTTGGTTTCTAGTTTTTAAACCTATCTTTCAAATGCATGTTCACTTATAAAACGTTTGGTTGTCTGTTAAATTGTTAAAAGTTCTGACACTAGATCAAAACGAGATTCAAGCGTGGTTTAGATCTAAAATGAGTAGATTCCCAAAAAAAGTTACCTGTCTAAAATGATTTATCGCGTATGATCACGGACTTAGATATATAAATATTTTCACTGACACTAATTTTCTGTTTTGATCGAAGCGGCGTTTTTTCCAAATCGCATAAATTATTGCGCGTTCTCGCGACATCACAGTGCACCAGACATATTTCCTATGCCGAAGAGGTAGTTGCCTTTCTCTCTAATCTAATTTCGTGGTATGATCAAAGATTATCTGTTGACACAGGGTCGCGTGTTAAAGGCGCTTTTACTTCCGGCATACGAGTCATTGCTCTTATAAGGGAATGGAATCTTATTGTTACAACTTCGTAGTCACATGCCTTAGGTGTGACCCGGTCGTCTTGGTGTCAACAGAGACATATTAAGCCGTAGTAATATACATATACGTCTCTGGTGTCAAGTTCACGTCATAAAGGTAATACAACTGATATTACCAAATCCCTGCGGGCTGAGCTTTACTTTAGGCGCTATGACACCTTCCGAATTTATATAAAAAGGTATCTTTGTATTTGGAAAGAAATTGAGTTTTAATCTGAAAACCGTAAATGTCAAATAATGCGTGATTAATGAGTTTCGAAAAACAAGTTTTTTTCTAGATAGCCTGTTGCATCGTTGATATATAATATAAACAACAACGGACGAAGTACCGCACCCTGAGACCCTCTTGTATTTGTTTTTATAGAGGATTTACAATTTTGAATAAATGCATGTCGAGGTAAATTTGTTTCATAGTTCATTAACCAATTTGATAGTTTTCCTCATATTCCATAAATGGATGATTTCACTTTCAGCACCCTGTGCCATACCCTGTTATATCGCAGAAAACTAGACATGTGTGCTGTTTTTAGGTTGTCACTCACTCTGTGATGTCTTTGTATGAGATTATGTACAGTATATATATAAACTTTATTTATTTTGCAACAATTATAAAACAAGTTATTTCAACTTATATTAATCATTCTTGTTGGCCCGGATGTAAGTGCGCGGGGGTCTAATGTCGGAGGAAACGGGAGTACCCGGAAAAAACCCACGTGGTCGGGCAGGTGAACCCTTACCTTTTCATTTCCGATCGGGGAATTATCATCATATTCTGAGATTAAAATACATAAAACCCTATTACTGGCGAAATCCTTCATTTTTTTCATTTCAACATATTTTATTGACATAGAAGAATGTTACACTGCCAAAAGGATTGGACAACAGGCTTATAGCCTATATAGGTCCTCTCCATTGATGATAGATATATGGACATAATGGATTGATATTACAATAATCAGATTTTGCTTACTGTCAACAATTAATCATTGTAAACGAGTAACATATTTGGCGTTAGAACCTTTTTTCTCTTATTTTTTAGACAATATGTCACTATAAAAATAAATGTACAGTTCTGTTCATTTCTAAGACCTCATGCATCTGATGTTAAATAATGATATAAACATAACTATTTAGTAACGGATACAATATGAATATGTACGAATTGGCCCTATGATTTAATTTCTGGTACCAACATACATTTTATTTTGTAGTAATATATTTGTGTATCCATTATATTTGGAAATTAGTGTCTGCACATTTTGGTAAAGAGAAAAATTGCAGGTAAATAAGGTCCATAGAAAGTTATATATAATGATATGATTTCAAATTAAATTGCTTACAATTCTGATTATATTTCTTCTACATATTGTCTATAGTTCTACTGCCAATTATGTACTTAGATATTTAGACAATTAAGAGGTTATTATACAATATATGGTGTGGGTGGGGGAAGGGGGATAACTCCCATAGAATAGTGTATTAATTAGATTTAGTCTGCAATATACAATGTAGGTAATATATATATATATATACATATATATATATATTAATTATAGACCGCATATACATGTATTATACAAGCTATAATATCAGATTGAAGACCGCACATATATTGATAATGAGTGTTGATTATGTTTATATCATTTGTAATTTATTGTAAATTATAGTTATCCAATAAGTTGTCAAACTTATGGAATAAAAGTTGAATTGTGTGTGTGTGTGTGTGTGTGTGTGTGGGTATATGTGTGTGTATCATATTGTATGTTGTCTCTGTAATGTTTTGTATGTATATTTTAACTGATAAGTCAACCGACTTAAAGTAATAAAGAACTTGAACTTGAAGCGAACCCAACTCGCCTTGGTGAAAGGCAAATTCGCTATCCACTGCGCCGACAGATATACAGAAGGGTTGCCTAACTGATACTTATTTCCCACAGCTTAACCAATATCAAAATATTAAATGTGTCAATAATATCATTTATATTAAAAGATATTTGCATTTGTGATGATGACGATGATGCTTGTCATTTCATGGTGCATTAACCACCATGTCAAAAATGTTCGAGTCGGATCTAGATTTTACAACAGGTAAGTCAGTGTCAGTATGGTCAACAGTTGATATAGAAACAAAGCAATTTAGTATGTTAGTTGTAATTTCGTCATCCATTTCCACTGTCCTTAATATCCGGAAACGATTCATTTGTCCTTTTTTAAAGAGTATTAACATTGTTCCGCTATTTCACAAAGTTGTTCAAGTTATGAGGAGTGCGGTAAGTTTTATAATTCTAGAGAAATCTGTTTCGTTTACTAGTTTTACGTCGAGGGTCATTATCAAACCAGGGTTTGTCATCGGGTCTAATTGTCAATATATTTTATGGAACACATTTTTGGCTATTTGCAAATGTCTTGATGTAAACATGTCACAAATGTCATACGGGAATACGGGAAGGGGTTCTTGAAAAAGTTCGTCCCAGTCGATTTCTTCGAAAAGACAAGAATGATCCAAATTCAAATAACTATTCATAAAAGATATTTTATGTGTTTCTTTAACATGAACTATTTCGAAAAGCAATGCATGGAATTATTACTTCAAACTATAAACAATATTTACAAGAACGTAAAAAATAGCATTATTATATTCGGCTCCAACTCTCCCATACAAATTTGAACTGGAACTGGATCTTATGTGTTTTTTGTAGAAGTTCTTGATACCAGCAGAATCGTTTGACGGGATAGCAAATTCCGGAAATTCTATGAGATTGGAACTGAATATTCCGGAAGTGACGTATGTAGTCTGTAGAGAGGAGAAGGTCCAGCACAGCGTACTCACATCCCTCACAATTCAGTGTGATAAGGTCCACATCTCGTCCTCTAACAGATAACATCTCAAAAAAATTGGTAACGTTCACAATTTTTGCAGCCTTACTTTTACCACTTTCGTGTTTGTGAAAAATAGATGACCCATCATCCTTAGCATCGTTCACATAAAAGATCCCGTCGGTCGCGTCGACCCCGAACTTGTAAACAATCACATTTGGTGACCCTTTGAACTTCGTCTTCAATACATTAAAGAACCTTTCCACAGGTTCCAAAACGACGTATTTGCCGGGATGGAAGCGCGAGTTGAATTGCTCAACATCGACTCCGTTGTGTCCCCCAGCCTCTATCATAAAACTTTTGTTGTTGATATATGTATGACTTGACCAACGTACATCTCTTTTGATTCTCTCTTCTTTAAGTCCCTTCTGGTACTCCTGTTCGTAAGTCGAAATACACCTATTCACCCGAGCGATCTGTGTGCTTGTGAATGTATCGCCAAAGTCTATGTAAGTCATATTTGAATCACAAAGCCTTGTTGAAAATCGGGGGCGGTACAGCGTGTGGTTGTATTTATCTTTATAGAATACTTTCTCGGTGAAAACTTGACCCTGATTTGTCCCCGTAACGATCATCTTCACCTCGGACTGTCCCATGTACATATACTGACATATCAATCCCATAGAAAAGGCAACCATTGTCAGTAATACCTTATACTTGGTCGACATCTTGTTTTTCTGAAAATACACAAAAAAATGAACATTTAATCATTATCATTGCACAACATCTGATATAGTAACCTACTATCATGTTCAAATAAGCCATTCTAGACCTTTAAAACAAAAACATACCATCAATACATTATGAGATATCGCAGGTTCTGCATTAGAAGGGGCTAATTAAGAGTCATGTGCCACCTTGCTAAATACCTCCACAAATGTGCATAAACCTTCATAGATTTCCATAAATCAGAAGATTTCCTCAAATTATTTGAGATTCCTCAAAATGACTTGCAAAAACCCTCCTCAACAGAAAACCTTCCACTTTTCTCCCAAACTCTTGAGATTGTCCTCCAATCCTGAGATTTTCCTAAAGGTCACTTGTATAAAAGTAAATCTGTAGTTTTCCTAAAATAATTCTGAGATTTTCTTCAAGAGACCGTGCTTCCAACGACATTTTGCAGCAGAGAGATTGTTGCACCCACCCAAGACCTTTTTATGCTCCACTTTGGATGAATAAAGTTGTGTTGGGTAAGCAGCAGAAAAACACCTTTTCGGGACAAACATGATACAAAAAAATCAGGGATTTAGCTCAGACTGTGTGCATGGAAAGCCGAAGTGTTAACATATCGGCCAGTAGACTTTATAATTATGTCTCTAAAACGTTACATTGTAGAAATACATGTATATTGTCGGATTCAACATTGATAAGGGTTTTATCTTACATTTTATTATATAGTTTAATGACTCAAAAGAGTTAACATTAATCATTAGTGAAATGCTCCGGGTATCGAGGCGTTGAGTTTTCGTGTGTTTTCCTGTCCATATCGCCAAAAAGAATGCAAAGATGAATGAAAGAATTCAAAAAGAACGAAATAAGTTCAAGTGCGGGAATGATGGTAATGACTCACAGGTACGAGTACGCACACGCAATCACGTGACAAGACATTAAGTAAACATGACAATACAATACAGGTGACGAATATTCAGATGGACACCTGGACTCACAGACTGGTTTGACAAGTACATGTATTAAAATAGATGGCGTAAGAGTTAGGCATACGCTGTAATAAAATAATTTTAAGTACAATAATTAATACTTATATTACAAAAGTACCATTTTGGTTTCACATGTACATGGAAAGTTTATAAGAGTTTAATAAACTTATAAAAAACTTTTGATTTAATACAAAATATTTACATACTGCCACATAAGTATGAAATAACACTAATACACTGCAAACAACATATAAACAAACAAAGAGAAGTAGCTCACATTTAAATACATATTTACTAATCCAGGGTTCGATAGCATTCGACAGTTATTACGCCGCGTGCGCAAATATCGGGACGAATATCGTACAGCTGCTGATCATATACGTTTTAAGTAACATACAATGCTAACAAAATCGTTAAATGGGATATTTGGATGTAAAACGATAGGTGTATCCCGTCAACTTTTGTAAGATCATAGTTCGTTTCGTATCTAAAACCAGGTTTTGATTTTATAGAACATCCAAGCATTCAGTCTGCTCTGCATGAGTTAAATACCGCGATGAATCACAGTGCATATAGTTGTATGCAAACAAGAGATTAGGCTCCTAACTCAATATACAAATGTTTCCCGCTCTCCGGATCCCTCCGCACAACCAATCAAACCTTATATATGCTCTCCGGTCCATCTACGTCCGAATTTGCACAAGATTCAAGATTTTAAACATTTATCTTTAAAACTCATGACACACAATGTGTGTTACAATAGGTCAAAACCTTAATACATTTCAATTACATAGCAAAGTGAGTACAGATTGTTTATACAACTAGTAAATATATAATGCTACAGAATAATATCACTGCATTTATCTTTTGTCGCTTAAACCATCAATTGTTTTCTCTGAAAAACTACTTCTTTTAGGTAAAACATTTAAATTACAAATATAAACCATTCCTTTTAGCTTGAAATTGCTGGGGTTTGTAGAGTTATAATTATGGATATACATTTTTCTTATTGATGATATATAAGTATCTGGCATTTAAACAAATATTTCGGTTTATCACCTATATCTGTTTGTCATAATGGACAAAATTTTATCTGATTTTGGAGTTGCATTCCAGCGTCCAGTCTCTATTGGTAATTTTAGATTGGACATTTGGAATTAACAAATAATTTTCCTTTCATCTTCATCAAGTTTTGTTAGATGTGATTCATACTGAAAGTTTGTCTCAAATACGGAGTAGAATTCACCACGAGAAGAGTGTTCTATCTATAAGAACCATTTCTGTATAAATTGATCTTTTAACCGCTATTTTACTACAGCTTTGAATGATTTTTATTCATAGTACATGGATTTTGAAAAATGCACAAATTGCTAAAATCTAACTTATTTAATATATCTTTTATGTAATTATTCCATTCAAAATGCATTTGTTCATTTAATTGTAAAACATATATAATTTTATAAGTCAAACTAGATAATTTTCTCACTCCAGTTAACAACTTAAACCAAAACATGATAATTCTTGTCTTGGTTTTTACTTCCAAAGGATATCTGCCGGTTTCTCCATAAATCATATAAATCGGAGTAGAAACTTTCACATACATGATTCTTTTAAACAATTGCAAATGCATTTTTTTCAATGATAATAGTGTTTCCGAATCTCCATATCTCACAAGAATACGATAGGATCGGTGAAACAAGAGAATCCACTGAACTCAAATTAAGTTGCAAATCAACAGACAATGTAATATTTCTTATTTTCTTGTACAATGCATATAGTGTCTTTTTAGCTTGTTCAGTTATTTTTGTTTTTGCTTTACTAAAGGTACCATTGCTATTGAATAATATGCCGAGATCAGGGGCGGGCCCATGGGTGTTGCCCTAGTTGCCCGGACAACACCCTTTTTTCTGTGTCCAAAAATAATCTGGACCAAGGTTTTTGAAGATTTTCCTCTATTTCATATGGGATTTCCTTTAAAATCAACCATCCCTTGATCTATGATTTTCTATGGTTGCCCCTTGCCAGCAGTTTGAATATCTATAAATGCCTAAGGGTGTTGCCTGAACAATGTGTCTACTACTTACATTGTATAGTCAAAAAAATAGGGGATTAATCCTCCATTGTCTATATATTAGTAGAGTCTCCACCCGTCAGGTCAGTGACCAAGGCTCACCAGACTGAATCTACCTTATCTTATTGTTCTAATGTCACGGTGTGTTGATCACCCTGTCAGTTAGGACAATGACATTTGTTTTATCCTCATAAACAATACAGTGTAGAGAATACATATATACAAATGGGTGACAATAACACATGGTGGAACAGGATGGATATTAGTATTGTAAATTAATTATGTCATTAATATTGGTAATAAATTTTGCCAATGATGTCAATTCATGTTGTGTTACACAATTGAATAATGTATAATATTTAAATGTATTTGGTCTTTCATAATAATATCTTGACATATGTTTTCGCCTACTATTGAGAATTGGTTGATGTGTACATGTAAACAGATAATGAAATTCGTCGCCAATTTCTCTTAAATAACATAAACTACATAATCCATTTTCACGTGGTATATTGAACCACCTACCACTTTCAATTGGTAACTTAGTATTTCATGTTCTAAACTTACAATACGCTTTGGCTAGTTTCGGAGGGAGTTCTAGTAAGTACTTTTTCAAAACAAAGTTCGTACTTATATATTCTATAATTGATTCCTTTCGGAGAGGATAAATTTCATTTCTCCAGTTTGATATAAATTTTCCTTTTTGTTTATAAAATATGGTACTCTTTAGCCAATGTATACTTAAAAACTCTTGACTATTAAATATATGTATCAGACTGCATTCTTCAAAAATACTTTTCACATATTTTAGCCATGATGATTCATAGTTTGATAACATTGCTTACAGTTTATTACTTAGTTTATTCTGGTTGTTTTTTGTCAATTTAGCCCAAATCTGACCATTCTTACTTTGACATTGATATCTAGCGGAAACCTTCCAAGTTCTCCGTATATCATAAAGTTCTGCGTAGACGTTTTACCATTAAGTATGTGTTTGCAAAATTTTAAATGTAAACGTTCGATAAGTTTATAGTTACAGAAACCCCAAACTTCACATCCATATTAAACAAGAGGTTTGATGGCTTTGTCAAATATATCAAGTTGACAATCTCTTGACAAATTATGATCCCTACATTTGGAAATAGCACCATACATTGCTTTTAAACCTTTACCATACAGTTGTTTGATACTGAATTGTGTCAAACCAGTTTTAGTAAAATAAACCCCCAGATATTTCAAATACTTAGCTATTCCTATAACAGTACCGTTGTATGTAAAATTAAGGCCATCAGGTATTCTTTTTCTACCAAATACCATGATTTTAGTTTTGCTGGTATTGATTCAAAAAAATACTTCCAATTGCTTTCGCAAATCCTCTGCCGTGTCTGATAGTAATATAGTGTCATCAGCGTATAGCATAGAATAAACCTTTAGATATACGTGTAATTCCTCCTCTAGCTAGTTGTTTATATTAGACAAACCTTTACAGTCACGTGATTTCATTAAACCTTCTAAATCATTAAAAAGTGAAAATGATAACGGGGAAAGGACTATACCATCTATTGGAAATAGGTATAAAGATAAAGTGTTATTTCAAAGGTGGAGTCTATTTCATGATAGATTTACCTGTATTTTCACCTGTGGTTTCAAGTACACATGGATACCAGGAGTGATTTATCATACCAATTTATAAATAAAAAATTCAAAAATTTCAAAAAACAATGAAGCAGCCTCCTACCATCACTTCATCACGTGACTAATAACTAATGTTAGCACATAATCTTGGCGTGTACATCCTTTTCATTTGAATTGTTTTCAATATACATAATTCATTATTTGTAAGGATGTGGACCTTGTCCAGTGAAAGACAAACAGTTAAATCATAATTCATATTTATGACAAAAGAAATTAATATTTAATTGCCAAAATGCTCGCCTAAACTACATGT